ATTGCTTGAGGCCAGTAGTTCGAGACCAGACTGGGCAACAGAACAATACCACATCTCTACAGAAAAAAAAAAAAAAGAAAAGAAAAATTAGCCAGGTAACAACTTTCCTTGTCTAAAAGTGTATCCAGTAAAAAAAAAAAAAAAAAAGATGACAACTTTACCCAAGTTAATCTTTAAAGGCCATGTAATTGCTATCAAAATCTCACTTTCTTTTTGGTTACATTTTGACTAATTTATTCTAATGTTCATCTCGTTCATTCAAGTGGTACACAAGAGTGGTTGATGACACATAAAGATAATATGAGACAAGGAGGTACAATGATAGTTTGGGTGACAGGTTAAGGCACAAGTAGGAACAGAAGGAACCTATAATAATAAAGGCCATTTATGGAAACTACAATTAACATCATTTCTAAATAGTAAAAGACTGAAAATTTTTCCTTTAAGATCAGGAACAAGACAAGAGTTGTTGCCATTTCTATTCAACACTGTACTAAAAGTCCTAGCGAGAGCAATTAAGCAAGAGAAATAAATAAAACATATCCAAATTGGAAAGGAAAAAGTAAAATGATCTGTTTACAGATGACATGATCTTATACGTAGAAAATCCTACAGATTCCACAAAAACCTGCTAGAATTAATAAATAAATTCAGTAAAGTTATAAGATGTAAAATCAACACACAAAAAATCAGTTGCATTTCTGTACACTAACAATGAACAATCCAAAAAGAAAATTAAGAGAACAATCAAAAAGGATAAAATACTTAGGAATAAACTTAACCAAGGAGGCAAAACTGCTGTATACTGAAAACTATAAAACACTGATGAAAAGAATTAAAGATGACATAAACAAATGGAAAGACATCTTGTGTTCATGGACAAGAAGACATAATATTGCTAAAATGGTCCTAGTACTCAAAGAAATCTATAGATTTAATGCAATTGCTATGAAAATCCCAATGGTATTTTTTACAGAAGTAAAAAGAAAATAAAATTCTATAATTCATATAGAAACATAGAGACCTTGAAAAGCCAAACAATTGTGAAGAAAAAAGCTGAAGGCATTACTTTCAACGTATATTACAAATCTATAGTAATTAAAACAGCATGGTACTGGCATAAAAACAAACATATATGTTATAGACCAATGGAACGGAAAATAGAGCCCAGAAATAAATCCACACATATACAGTCAATTGATCTTTTACAAGGGTACCAAGAATACACAACGGAGAAAAGATAGTCTCTTTAACAAATGGTGTTGGAAAAACTGGATATCCACATGCAAAATAATGAATTTTGGACTCACTTTATACCATGCACAAAAATAGATTCAGGCCGGGCGTGGTGGCTCACGCCTGTAATCCTAGCACTTTGGGAGGCCGAGGTGGGCGGATAGCTCAAGGTCAGGAGTTCGAAACCAGCCTGAGCGAGACCCCGTCTCTACCAAAAATAGAAAGAAATTAATTGACCAACTAAAAATATTAGAAAAATTGGCCGGGCATGGTGGTGCATGCCTGTAGTCCCAGCTACTCGGGAGGCTGAGGCAGCAGGATTGCTTGAGCCCAGGAGATTGAGGTTGCTGTGAGCGAGGCTGACGCCATGGCACTCACTCTAGCCTGGGCAACAAAGTGAGACTCTGTCTCAAAAAAAAAAAAAAAATTAAAAAAAAAAATAGATTCAAAATAGGTTACAGAGTTAAACGTAAGACCTAAAACTAAAACTCTTGGAAGAAAATGGGGGAGGGGGAAATGTTTCATGACATCGGTCTTGGCAATGATCTCATGGATATGACACTAAAAACACAGACAACAAAAGCAAAAATAGACAGATGGGACTACATTAAACTAAAAAGCTTCTGCACACTAAGGGAAACAATCAACAGAGTGAAAAGGCAACAACCTATGGAATGGGATAAAATATCTACAAACAATATAGCTTATAAGGGGTTAATTTTCAAAATATATACGAAACTCTTACATCTCAAAAGATTACATCAGCAAAAGATTAACTACCCAATTTAAAAATGGGCTAAAGACTTTTTTTTTTGAGACAGAGTCTCACTTTGTTGCCTAGGCTAGAGTTAGTGCCGTGGCATCAGCCTCGTTCACAGCAACCTCCATCTCCTGGGCTCAAGCAATCCTGCTGCCTCAGCCTCCCGAGTAGCTGGGACTACAGGCATGTGCCACCATGCCCAGCTAATTTTTCTATATATATTAGTTGGCCAATTAATTTCTTTCTATTTATAGTAGAGATGGGGTCTTGCTCTTGCTCAGGCTGGTTTCAAACTCCTGACCTTGTGCAATCCGCCTGCCTCGGCCTCCCAGAGTGCTAGGATTACAGGCGTGAGCCACCACGCCCGGCCAAAAATGGGCTAAAGACTTGGGTAGACATTTCTCCAAAGAAGACATACAAATGAACAACAGTACAACAGTATATTACAAATGCTCAATATCATTAATTATCAGGGAAATATAAATCAAAACCAGAATGAAATATAACTTCACACCTGTTAGGATGGCTATTATAAAACAAAAAACCCAAAAGACATTAAGTGCTGGTAAGGAAGTGGAGAAATTGGAAGCCTTGTACACTGCTGGTGAGAATGCAAAATGATGTAGCCACTATGGAAAACAGTACAGAGGTTCCTTAAAAAATTAAAAATAGAACTACCATATGAACCAGCAATCCTACTTCTGGGTATTTACCCAAAAGAATTGAAATCAGGATCTTTTTTTTTGAGACAGAGTCTCACTTTGTTGGCGGGGTTAGTGTGCCATGGTGTCAGCCTAGCTCACAGCAACCTCAAACTCCTGGGCTCAAGCAATCCTTCTGTCTTAGCCTACCGAGTAGCTGGGACTACAGGCATGCGCCACCATGCCCGGCTGATTTTTCTATATATTTTTAGTTGGCCAATTAATTTCTTTCTATTTTTAGTAGAGATAGGGTCTTGCTCTGCTCAGGCTGGTGAAATCAGGATTTTGAAGAGATATTAGTGCCCCATTGTACACTGTAGCACTATTCATGATAGCCAAGATGTAGAAACAACTTACATGTCCACTAATGGATAAATGGATAAAGAAAATGTGGCATATACATACAACAGAATATTATTCAGCCTTAACAAAGAAGGAAATCCTACAATATGAGACAACATGAATAAATCTTGAAGACATTACGCTAAGTAAAATAAACCAGCCACAGAAGGATAAATACTACATGATTCCACTTAGATGAAGTATCAAAATTAGTCAAACTCATAAAATCAGAGAGTACAATGGTGGTAACCAAGGGCTAGAGATTGAGGGAGAGGGAAATGGGAAATTGCTAATCAGTGGGCATAAGTTTTAGTTACACAAGATAATTGAGTTCTAAAGATCTGTTATACAACATTGCGTCAATTGTTAACAATACTGGATTGCACACTTAAAAATGTGTTCAGAGGGTAGGTCTCTTATTAAGTGTTCTTACTGCAATAAAATAAAACTGAAAGAAAGATGACATCCCTCTTTTCCCCATCCTCAGTCCTGCTGTCCAGGACATGTGATGGCTTTTGGTGCCATTCTGGACTGTGAAAAGGTGAGCTGGAAGGAGCCTGCATTTCTGAGACCCATGGGGCTGCCATACCAGCCCAGGATGCCTTCTTCTAGACTTCTTTCACAGGATAAATTTCTATCCTGTGTTGGCCACAATACAGCATGTGCGTGTGTGTGTGAGTGTGTGTCAGAGGGAAATACTCCCAGGGAAAACAAACAAAAAACAAAATAAGCAAATCGCCTTGTCTAATTTCTTCCAACTGGACCTTCATGTAAATAAAATGGGATGTAGCAAACTACAGCCCACAGGTCAACTGTGTTTTTGTAAATAAAGTTTCATTGGAACACCCATTTGTTTATGTATTGTCTATGGCTGCTTTTGTGCTATAATGGCAGAATTGAGTAGTTGTGCTAGAGACCATATAGCCCATAGGCATAAAATATTTACAGCAAAGGTTTCCTGATCCCTGAAATAAACTAATGATAATTTCTAGGGGGGCAGAATCCTTTTCTATTGAATGCCCTTAGTAGGACATGCTTGGCTATGGATTTTTTATAGCAAATAAACCCATACCCTATAAAGTATGGCTCCCTGACAATGGCCACACAATCCATACAACTTTCAGGGGTATTAAATGGAGATGTTTTGTAACTTAAATGGTTCCTATTATGTGAGGTAATAATCCACAAAACCTCATCGATTCAACTCTTTGTTCCTAAATTCTGTTCTGTCCTGTTGCTATCTTAATCCTGTGCCAGTATTCATACTATTTTGTTTACTGTAGAGGTAAAGCTGTATGGTTGAAGAAATAAGATCATACCAAGCTTTATTTTTGATGGATACCAAACTCATCTGATGTCCTTTTATTTCCTTCGTTTTTAGAGACCGGGTCTCACTCTTGCTCAGGTTGGTCTTAAACTCCTGAGCTCAATCAATCCTCCCACCTCGGCCTCCCAGAATGCTAGGATTGTTGTCCTTTTATTTCTATGTTAAACATGTATTTTTTTTAAGGAGTGGATGTTGGTGCTCCATCCAGAGCTCCTTGGATGCTTTTCTCACTTTTTGGAGGGTTATATGCCCTACAGCTTGCTATGCTGAAAAACAGAAAGTCTTAGAAGTACCTGAGGATTTATAGTCCCCAAGATGGCCCTTATCTTAATGACTGATGTATATAAGAATATGAAGACCCTCTTCATGAGGGAGGAATTATTCTGAGGCATAAATTTCATTCCAGAGATCCTTTGTGTGATGAGGCTAAAGCTGCCCTTTGCAGGACTTTGAGAGCTCAACCTTGGTTGACTTCCTCACCTTCCCTGTCCTCCTTCTCCCACTCCTATGCTAGTTTCCTCTGGGAACACTTCCTTAATAATCACTTGCACACAAATCTTTGTCTCAGGACCTGCAGCTGGGGAACATGAACTTACAACATCTAAGGAGAAGCAGAGAATGATTATGAATTTACCTTTTAAAATTGATGTTGAGATTTGCAGTCATGACAATTCCCCCAGCTATTAGCGCAGACATACCAAGAGTACTATCAATCATGGTTGCAATGGCACCTCCATGAAGAAATCTAGTCACAATAGGAATAGAGGAGAAATGTTTGCAGAAGTTCCAAAACAGAGAGCCTCTCAAGAGAAATTATCCAAGCCATCTTCACACAATTTACTTATGAAAGGTCCATTTAGTCCATGTCCAGTATAGTGAATGTCAAATAATACCCATGTCCCTAAGTTTATTTTGTTTATAGCATATTTTTATTATTTTTATTTATTTAGAGACATGGTCTTTCTCTGTCACCCAGGCTGGAGTGCAGTGGCACAATCACAGCCTGGGCTTAAGTGATCCTCAAACTCCTGGGCTCAAATGATCCTCCTGCCTCAGTCTCCCCAGTAGCTGGGACTACAAGTGTGTACCCTTATGCTCGGTTAATTTAAATTTTTTTAGAGATAGGATCTTGCTGTGTTGCCCAGGCTGGTCTCCAACTCCTGGGCTCAAGTGATCCTCCTGCCTTGGCCTCTCAAATTTCTGGGATTACAGGCATAAGGCATCATGTTTGGCCTGTTCATAACATAATGGTATAGTCTTAAGCAATTGTAATAAAACCAGAACTTAATTGTAATCAGATTGTAAGCAAGAAAAAAGCTAAAATATAATTTAGAAAATTTATATTATGTTTTTCTTTAAAAAACTATACACATTCATTTTTTTTTTTTTTTTTTTTTGAGACAGAGTCTCGCTTTTTTGCCCAGGCTAGAGTGAGTGCCGTGGCATCAGCCTAGCTCACAACAACCTCAAACGCCTGGGCTCAAGCGATCCTGCTGCCTCAGCCTCCCAAGTAGCTGGGACTACAGGCACGCGTGACCATGCCCGGCTAATTTATATATATTTTTATATTTATATATAATATAATATATATATATATATATATAATTATATAATATATATATACACACACACACACACACACACACACACATATATATATATATTAGTTGGCCAATTAATTTCTTTCTATTTTTATAGTAGAGACGGGGTCTCGCTCAGGCTGGTTTTGAACTCCTGACCTTGAGCAATCCGCCCGCCTCGGCCTGCCAGAGTGCTAGGATTACAAGCGTGAGCCACCGAGCATGGCCTACACATTCATTTTTTATAAATTCTAAAAATGCAGATAAACAGAAGAAAAAAGAAAAGAAAAAAAACGTAAGGCCCATAATACTACCATCTAGTCAGTGATAAGCCACTGTTAATATGTTAATGACACTCCTTCAGATTATACTTTATTGCCATGTCCTATAATAATATATCATATATGCTCTTTAATATATTAAATATTTAATAAATATTAACAATATAGATATCCTTTAATAATATATTATAAACATCTTCTCATGTCAATAAATATATATCTACATTACCATTTGAATGCCTTCATTGTAGTCTATGGATATGTGGGGGCGCTATAAGATAAAAATCTTTTAGATCCACATTTCTAGACTATCCTTCTTACCCAGGCATTCCTTCCAGGTAAAGACCTCCTTGAAACAAGCAAACTGTCCTTTTTTCAACATCATTATAGAACATCGCATGTTCAAAGCCCAGGCCCTCCTCAAAGCTGCTGGTGAAGAGACGGGTCTGTGTCATTACATCTTCTTTTGTAAATTTTGGGTCTGCAGGAAAATGAGGTGAATGGGCACATGAGAAACAAGTGTGATCCCACATCAATTATTAGTGGCCAAAAAAAAAAAAAAGTGTGAGAGAAATACCATGACAGAGCCAAGCACCTGTACTCTCACATGTCAACAAATGATTGAATTAAAATGTCAAATAGGTCCAAAACTGAAAAGAATGGGAGGGTCCAAAGAAACAAGAATATAGTATTTTTTTTTTTTTTTTTTGAGACAGAGTCTCACTTGGTTGCCCAGGCTAGAGTGCCATGGCATCAGCCTAGCTCACAGCAACCTCAAACTCCTGGGCTCAAGCAATCCTTCTGCCTCAGCCTCCCAAGTAGCTGGGACTACAGACATGTGTCACCATGCTTGGCTAATTTTTTTCTATATATTTTTAGTTAGCCAATTAATTTCTTTCTATTTTTAGTAGAGATGGGGGTGTCACCCTTGCTTGGGCTGGTTTCGAACTCCTGACCTTGAGCGATCTGCCCACCTTGGCCTCCCAGAGTGCTAGGATTACAGGCATGAGCAACCACACCTGGCCATCATGAATATGGTGTTTTAACAAGCTATTCAGGAGAAAAAAAAGAATATAAGATCTTTGGCCTCGTAGAATTAATAGTTTAACTGGGGACAGAGTAAACATATATGAAATCAAAACAAAGTATTTACCCACACATGGCAATCAGGAAATATAGTATACAAATGCAAACAGTATGCTGGCTAAAACAGTAAGGTATAGACAGCAATCCCTCTTGGAATAAGTGGTTAAATGGGATTTAGAGAAAATGAATAATGTAACAGAAAGGAGAAGGTTTTGCTGGCAGGCATGAGTTTAGCTTGTCAGTTATACTGAATCAGAAACAGGCCAGTTCAACCCAATATTCACCAAATATTTAAGTGTGATTGTGACTCTAGGCTCCCAAACTGGGGGTTGGAACCATTAGGGGTCATGAAATCAAATTAATGGGTTGTAACAAGACTTTAAAAAGACAAAGAATACTTCCCATATATCCTGGGTGACTACTATACTTGTTTAGATATAGTTTTTTCAACTGTGAGCAAAGAGGGGGTACTGAATTGAGTCAAAATGTAGGTCACTTCAAAATAAAGACTGAAAGCTACTGCTGGAAGGATGGGTATATTTGTGCTTTTATATCCATTTCAAAATTTAACCCTCCATACTCTGCGCTTGCTTTCACAGCTCATCATGATTTGCCATATATAAAATTATCTAAGTTTCTTTTATTTCTACCAAATTTACATTTACAAACTTAGAAAAAGTTATGTGATGAGAAGATCCAGGAGAAGTGAAAGACAAGGGAGGATGCCTTGCGTCCTGGGGCACGCACTCTGTCTTTTAGACTACGTACGCCCAACAACTGGCACCAATATGCACATGGTATGCGTACTCAAGCAGTTGTCGAGGGAATCAATGACTTAGAAGGCCAGACAAAAAAACATAAAATTGGGGATCGTATTATGGTATAGTGGAAAGAATCTTTGCCTGGGAGTTGGGAAAATTAAAATCTTGGCCCAGCTCTGGCCTAGAACTTGCTCTTTTGCGCTAAGCTTTATTCATACAATGAGGAGATAAACCTAAATGACCTTTAAAATCTCTTCCAAGTCTGACATTCTGGGACTTCAGGAAAATATAAACATCAAAACCCTCTAATTTTTTACTTAGAATAGGAATTCAAAATTTCTGGTCTAGGCTGGTCCGATGGTAGTGGGTTATCAGAACTTACTAACATTAGCACCATTAAAGTTAGTATACAACCCCCCACTGCTAAATTTGGCTTTAAAAAAAAATTCTGGTCTAGATTACTAAACTTTGAGGTTATCTGATGAAAATGAGAAAAATAAACATGGTGAGACAAGTTTGTTAGAAATACAGAATCTCAGGCTCCATCTCTGACCCACTGAAGTGGAACCTCCATTTTAACAAGGTTCTCAGGTGCTTAATATGCATTTGAAAGCCTGAAAGGCACTGGTCTTTTAAGACAGTGGCTAGCACTTAAGTCAGCAGTGGAGTAACATAATGAGGTCTGCAATTTTAATCACTCTAACAGTTGAAGAAGGTTTTGAGGAGGATAAGAATGGAGGCAGGAGATGAGTCAGAAGACCACTGTAACAATATAAAACCACAATCACCAGCAGGGTGCGGTGGCTCATGCCAGTAATCCTAACACTCTGGGAGGCTGAGGTGCGAGGATCACTTGAAGTCAGGAGTTTGCGACCAGCATGAGCAAAAGGGAGACCCCATCTCTACTAAAAATAGAAAACTTAGCTGGGTGTGGTGGCCCATGTCTATAGTTCCAGCTGCTTGGGAAGTTGAGGCAGGAGGATTGCTTGAGCCCAGGACCTTGAGGTTGTTGTGAGCTAGGCTAGAGCCATGGCACTCTAGCCTGGGCAACAGAGTCAGACTCTGTCTCAGAAAACAAAAACAAAAACACCACAATCACCAAACTTATCTGCTAGGTGGGGCAATTTTCTCTAGCAATGCCTAGAGATGCAAAGAAGAGATGATAGGTGGTTAGATTCGCCCAGGACTGGGGTTCTCCTATGCAAGTGGGCTGGAGAAGTTCAGATAGAAGAAGGCTATGAGACAAGGAGAAAGTAAAAGACTCTATGAACTGAAGGTCTTAATGAGATCAAAGAATTGTTTCTGAGAGGCCTTTGAACAAATAAGCTAGAAGGAAAAAGGCTGTGGTGAGAAAGCAGGATGTCTACACGTGTGCACTGGGAGACTGTGCACTTTTTGAAGATGTCAAGGTTCAAGATGTTCATGGGAGTGTGTGGCGGGGCTGGGGAAAGAAAGTTCAGAGGTGTGAAAAAGCGAACACACCGAGGAGCCATGGGTGTGCGTGCTGGAGCTGCTGAGAATGGTGAGCGGAGCTGGGCAGAGGGGAGATGGACACCCAGCTGCTGAAATACCCAGCATTGAGGGAAAGCTTGGCAGATGACAGCAGCATGGAAGGGAGAAGAAGGTGATAAAGTCAGACAGTAGAAAGCTCAAAGGAACAGAGGGTTTTCTAAGATGAGGGGCAAGTGATGGTTTGAAAGCAAGTGTGGGTAGCAAAGAAGATCCCAAACTCCTCTCAATTCTGAGAGGGCCAAGTTTCAGTCAAGAGCGCATGGGGGTTGGATGAGGGGGTGAGCAGAGCCATGTAGGAACGGAATCCTGGAAAACACTGGTATTTAAGGAGCTGGCAGAAGGAGGAGGCAAGACTGGTCTGAGAAGTTTACGAAAGCCAAGAGGGAAAAAGTGTCAAGGAGGAAGAGACCACCAGGGAGGTCCAGTACAGTAAAGGCTAACAATGCCCAGGGAATGTAGCATGTAGATCACCAGTGGCTTCAGTGAAGACACTTCAAGAGGGCTGTTAGGGTAGAAGACAGATTGCACTAAGCTAAGGACATTCAATTAATTGTGTGATGTGGTAACAGTTGGAATGGAATCAGCAATACAAACTACCAATTCTTTTCCTTCATTTATAAGATAGAACAATTCTTTTCTCTGTATATATTGGAGATTCTGCAGAGAAATTTAAGAACTCTATCATTTTCTCTTTTTCTTCTTTTTTGAGTGATTAGACTGTTAGAGTGTTTTTTTGAGTTTTGAGAGTTTGTTTTTGAGTGTTAGAGTTATTTTTTTTGAGTTTAAATTGACATAACTTTACTTATGTTTTTAATTTTTAAATTGACAATAGTAGATATTCATAGGATACACGGTGATGTTTTGATGAATATAATGCATAATGATCAGATCAAGGTAATTAATATATCTACTATCATATTAAACATTTATCATTCCTTTGAGTTGGGAACGTTCAATATCCTCTTTCTATCCATTTGAAATATATATTATCGTTAACTGGACTCACAGTGGCATAGAACACTACAATTTTTTCCTCTTATCTAGCTGTAATTTTGTATCCTTTAACAAATCTCTCCATATCCTTTCCTTTACCATTTTTTCTTTATTAAAGTAGTTTTATTTTTGTTTCATCCATTCCTTCAGCAAATACTAAAGTATCTACCATGGGGAAACTCAGGCACAGAAAGGTAAAGTATTAATAACTTGCCCAAAGTTGCACAGCTTTAAATAGTGGAATGAGAATTTGAAGCCAGCCACTAAATTTCAACCATTCAATTGGAAGCTATCAGCTTTTGGATGGCCTCTAAAGCCATCTAAATGAGATTATCAATGGAGTAAAGAAAGGAGTATTAAGTACTGAGACATGGGGGTACCCTAACATTAAGAGTTTGAGGATAAAGAGGAATTGGCATAAGAAACTGAAAAGGAGGGACCAGTGAAGTCGGAGACTGTGGTGTTCTGGAAGCAAAGTTCAAGGAGAAAGGAGTTACCAGCTGTGCCAAGAGCTGAGAGAAGTTACTGGATTTAGCAACATGAAGGTCACTGGTGCCCTTGACAAGAGTAGTTTTGATGACACAGTGGGTGTGAAAGAGACCAAGAAGAGAGAAATGCAGTTGTGGCACACCTGTACACTGATGACAAAGACTTAGCAGAAAGAGATGTCCTTTAGTAGGCCAAAGGGATGGAATGCAGTGCACAAATGGAGCATCTGGCCTCCCCAAGGATCTGGACAGTTCATTCATAGCAGACAGGCAGCAGAACATCCGGCACAGGTACAGGGAGGAGGCTACGTGGGGCAGTGGGATTTTGGAAGTTGTCTTCTGACTGCTTTGCTTTACTCTTAGTGAAATAGGAAGTGAGATCAGCTGAAAGAAAGAATGGGAAAGAAAGTATTAGAGGCATGAAAAGAAAGAAAAAGGTAGGAAATAGGAATCAAGGAGGGCAGGAGAGAGAATAGACTAGGGAAATATAAAATATGATTGTCAGGCATTAAGGGCCTACTTGAGGTCATTTAAAAAAAATCATCACAATCCCCAAAGTACTACCTAAAGATGTGTTTAGATGATTAAAAGATAATGAGTAACTTGGAAATATCTGTGAAACAATTCAGTATGATACTATGTTAGATACCTGTCATTTTATATTTTTCAAAACCCATAGAAAATACAGCACAAAGAGTGAACCCTAATATAAACTATGAACTTTAGTTAATAATAATGTACCAATATTGGCTTATCAACTGTAACAAATACACCACAGTAATGCAAGATGTTAACAATAGAGGAAATTAGGCCGGGCATGGTGGCTCATGCCTGTAATCCTAGCATTCTGGGAGGCCAAGGCAGGCGGATTGTTTGAGCTCAGGAGTTCAAGACCAGCCTGAACAAGAGCAAGACCCCATCTCTACTAAAAAAATAGAAAAATTAATTGGCCAACTAACATATATATATATATAAATTAGCCGGGCATGGTGGCGCATGCCTGTAGTCCCAGCTACTCAGGAGGCTGAGGCAGAAGGATTGCTTGATCCCAGGTGTTTGAGGTTGCTGTGAGCTAGGCTGATGCCCAGGCAACAGAGTGAGACTCTGTCTCAAAACAAACAAACAAAAAAAGCAAATAACAGAGGAAATTAGGAGAGGGGAGAGATAAGGGATATATGGGACCTCTCTGTATTTTCTAAACATTTTTCTATAAAACTAAAACTGCTGGAAAAAAAAAGAATGTCTTAATTTAAAAAAACAAAAACAAAACCCAGAAGGATAGAAGTGTAACGTGTTGTGAGTGTTGGGTATAGGGTGGGTGCCTTAAGGATGTAGTCTGGGAGACAGGGGATGACCTGAGTTTTCTGCAGTTCTTAGAGTGACATAGCCAGATACTGGGATAAACGGCAAAATGAGAGTTGATGACAACCTCGGGACAGAGGAGTAATAAGCTTGTGGGAGGGTGGAGCTCTCTAGGGCACCTTCTCCACTCCTGCTATTGGCATGAGGATGCCAGGTGCCAGGGCGGGGCGGGGCAGTCTTACTCTTGACAATAGGCTTTATGCTCTCCCACAGTCTGCAGAATTTATTGAGAGTTCTGGCCTATAAAACTGGGGACTACATAAATACTCTCCTGCACTATTCTCCTTTCTTTTTCATGCGGTAACTAGTGTTTTAATCTGTCCTTAGTTTTATATTTGACATTCAAATATTATTCATGGGAAAGTGGCCATTCCTACCATGAAAAAATGTTTTGAAGTCTTGTATCCTTTGAAGGGATCCATGTTTATATAAAGGCAAACATTTCCAGGAGCCGTCTTCACATTTCTTCATAAACTGGTCAAAGAGGAGTCTTAGGTCCTTACTCCAGCTGGGATTGGGGATAGAAAAGTCCTTATAAATGACTTTCTCAGAAGAAAATGACCTCTAAAAGACAGAAAGAAGAAAAAAGAATAATGGAAGGTGCATCCTATTTCATAATATATTTTCCCACTTTCTAAGACTACCTTGCTACTTTTGTTCTCCCCAGAAGACTGTCATTTCAAAATGGAAGGGAATTTCAGGGATCACCTGGTACAATCTCCTTGGAAATGGTAGACTTAGAAAGGTTTGCCCAATGTTCCCAGCTAGCTAATGGCAGAGTTAGCCCAGGTCTTCTGATTCCATTTGTTTTTCAAACCTTAATCAAGCATAGGTGAGCCAGCACACTGGAGATAAAGAGAGACGAATGACAGACACAACCCTCCACGTAAAAAGTGCTATCAGTGGGTTATGCACAGGGAGCTAGAGTACAAGGAAAAGGTATCCCTCTGTGATTTGGGGGCGGGCAGAGATGTAACTGGGTCCCCTATTGAACAAATTTCAATGACCCCTATATAATCCTCTCCCGTGACTACTCTTGACCTTTTGAGTCATTTCCCCAAAATGGTGGATCTTCTGCAAGACAAACGAACTGAGATTCTGAAGGCCCTTGGGCAGACTCACCCTCTCCCATCCCCTGTCCCAGGGCACGTGACCCCCTCCCTTAAAAGCCCATGATCTCCTTTGGTGTGAGAGATGGATTTCAGGCAGCTTCTCCCTTCTCCCAACAAGACACCTGTCATATTAGAAAATTCCTTTCTTTTCCTTGGCAATCCTTATTGTCTCAATAATTGGATCTTTGTGTGACAAGCAACTGGACCTAGACAGAAACTCCCTGTGGTTTTAACAATAGGCAGGAGAAAGGGCTGCTCCAAGCAAAGGCATAAAGGGATGAAACAACCATATGACACATTGGAGAACTGCTAGGATTTCAGCCTTCATGGATATTTGGTACAAAGAAAAGAATGGCAAGATGTGGCTAACAAAGCATAAGAGGATTCACACCACAGAGATTGGCCCTAATGCAGGGCTTAGATTTCATCTTCTAGGTCAATATTTCCAAAGACCAGTATGAAAGATGATTTTTAGATGGCATAAGAACAAAGACAAGTATTTTTAAGTATTATAAAATACTTATATTTTTATATAAAATATATTTATATAACATAAAAGAACTTAAGTAGAAAATCACACTTGTGATTTCACAAGTATTATTACTTAAGCAGAAGCTAATGAACACATTGACTGCCACGTGAGTTGTATTTAACTCAGGCTAGTTTTAAACCAGGGGGTTCGTGAAGCAAAACCCTGCAGCTGGTTTGTGAAAATCTTACTTGTTGATATTCTCATTGTTAAAATTAATATTGACAATTTAATTTTAAAAACATGGACTGTGTTGCATATAACTCATGCACAGAAAACAATAAAAAATAACAAATTAGAAAAGATTGTTTTGTTTTAATAAAACACTGTGGCACCAGTGAAAAAACTTTTTTCCTACTATGGCAGTCAATGTGCTAAAGACAGAGAGTCTTTCGATTATCTTCAAAATTCTTGAAAAAATATTTTTTTAAAAAAGGGAATCTTTAAGGAATTATGAAGGTATCTGAATGATAAAACACCTTTTTCTCTTATATGGAGCCTTAAGGAGTTTTAAGCAAAGGAGTAACATGAGCATAGGTTTTGGAAAGCTCCACCTTGTGTAAAGTATGAGTTAAAATGGTGAGATGCAACAGCAGGGAAAAGACTGTTGCGAAGGTCCAGGTTGGGTATGGTCAGAACCTGAACTGGGTTCAGAGGAAATGAGGAGAAAAGTTTTAAGATATTTAGGACACTGGAAATAAGGGATGTGGGGAGTTACTGACTATGAGGAATGTTAGGGCCTAGGGACCATAGGTAGCCAATAACCAGCCATTAGCTTCTATATTATGCTTGCTCGCTTGCTTAGGAGAGTGGAAAAATTTTCAGCTGACCCTTATCTGACTCCGGACCTGCTATCCTGCCTCTGCTAGCGTGATTAAGTTTAGAAACTAAGGAGAAGGGCGGTGGTGCATGGCACAACTGCCCACAAGATATAGCTGCTAGTCCGAGGTCGAAACGTCCTGGACTTCTGAGGCATCTGACATGCTTTATGTACCTAGTGAAATGCGCTTGGGTTTAGATCACAGAATGCAGAATGTATTTCAACTAAGATTAATGTCCGTAATTAGGCTACATCAGAGGCTTCCTCTCGGCTGAATCTTAGCTGCAGCCGGTGACTCCCACAAAACCCATCTCAAGGCTCCAAATGCCCCCCCCCCATCTGTGCTAAAACACAGAAATGTAAGATTAATGCTTTCTCTCTCTTTTGTAAAAGTGCCTGCTAATTAGATTTTTAGAGTGTGGTTTTTGCTTTTAAAAAGGGGTCGTTTTTCCTAGCTCATTGCTACTTTCTGTGCCTGCCACTCTGCAGGATAGAAGTAGTCCTGGCCAGTAAATAAAGACTCACAGTTTGACTCATTTTGATTTCTAAGGTGGTCTTTTCCACTCCGGACCATAACAAGGAAGAGAAAGCAGAAGAGTCTTGCATGATTCCAGAGTTATGGCTCTGAAGATTAGGGTGGATAGAATCAACAGAAAGAGGTGGTTTTTGTTATTGTGTGAGTGTTGGTCAGGAAGGAGAAAATAGCCGTGGAACTATTAATTTTAGTTTGGGGCATACTGAGTTTGTTACTCCAGACAGGCACTCTAATGATGTAGGAAATACAAATAATAAAAGTTTTAGTTCAAGGAAGTAAGAACTAAGAGATACCTGAATGCAAAGGCACTTGTAAATTCATAGCACAGACTATACAAGAAGAATAAATGTTAGGACTAATCATTGCCTTTTGTTGTCCTGAATAAAGGAAAAGTCTTGCTTGATCTTTGGTTATACATTCATAAAGCAGGACTTGTTAAGAAAAGTTACGACTTTTTTCCTTTGATTCCTTTTAAGATTAAGTTAGTAAACAGAAAGATACATGATTTATAAAGCTTGTAAATATGAATAGTTAAATATTATCAGCACAGATTACAAGGCTCAACACATAATTAAAGATATGAATACATCTTTGTTATAGGATTTTCTTTTCCAATGTGCAAGCTGGTACAGGATTAGTGACTAAACTCTGTATTCATTATGCTTTGAAAGAATGCTACAAAGTTCAAAGAAACAGTATAACTAACCTAAATTACTGAAGTCCCCTGTGTTCCCCTAGTACCTTATTATAGCACATAGTACATACATGTTTTAATTTTGCAAGTTTACTACTGTTAAATACTTATAGTAGGCCATTGGTTTGGTTGGTGACTAAAACATTCACACAGGGCTCTTTGATGGACACTTAGCTTCCTCAGGGGTCAGCAGAGTTATTCAATCTTATTTTTTTTTAATGTACAAGTTTATATAAATAATAAAGAACTTCCTATTTTGTATTACATCTAATGCTTTAAGCATTGGTCTTGGAAATCTGATGTTTCATGTAGAAGTTGGACTCTGAGAAACATTCCAGTAAAGCCATGGCAGCATGGACAGCCTCTAAGTCAGAGGTCCCCAACCTTTTTGGCACCAGTGATGGGTTTCATGGAAGACAATTTTTCCACAAACCAGGGTGGGTGGGTCGGGGGGAAGATGGGAGCCCTGAGCTTGTTTTCCTGGAACTAGAAGGTCCTATCTGGGGGTGATGGGTGACTGATCTGACAGGAGATGGAGCTCAGGAGGTGATGCACATGATAAAGAGCAGCTGTAAATACAGATGAAAATTCAGTCCCTTGCCCCACAGCTCACCTCCTCCCATGCACCCCAGTTCCTAACAGGCCAGGGTTGGGGACCACAGCTCTATGTGATTGTGTCTGCAGTATTATTGTGGAAGCTATACCTTTTCTGTTGTAAGAAAAGCTTGAATTGCTTTTGTTGTAACTTTTCAGCCCCAGTGACTTTTTATTTATCTGAGTCTTTCATGGAAGCAGCAGCAAAAAGTATGTTGAGTGTTCATTTTGGTGACTGTAACCAATGTCATCTTGCTAAATTAACATTTTGTACAATCACTAAATTATATACATATTATTATAGAGTACTTTTTTCTAGTTCCAATAAATTATGGAAAGGAAGTTAATACTGAAAAAAAAAAAGAATGAGGTGTTGCCTTGCTCACCTCTAGAATTGCAGATAAAAGCCAATTAAGATCTTTAAACCAAATTTGTTGTACTTTTGTCCTTTGACAGTTTGGAAAATGACAAATAGACCTGAGGGTCTTCCCTATGGAGTCTCAAGGGTTCCTCTAGGGTCAGACTTTGCTTTTTGTATTGATCTCCCCGATTATCTGGCTTTCAAATCCAGGGTTAGTTTGTGCTGTGAGACAGCATATGACCTTTTGGGATTTCCAGTGGCTAATGAGTCACTGGCAAGGACAGAAGTCACGATGAAACATAACTGGGCCCTGTAGGGAGGGTCAGACAAAAAGTGGCAGTAAATGGCAATTACTGCAGGGGATGTGACTCCGGCTTTCAGAAATTTTACAGGGATTTTATATCCTATCCTCTTTGTTTCTTTTTCTTGTGTGCTTAGGTAGGGGGGAAATCATTGGCTGAATTAGTTAAGGGGATTTCAGAACCAAAGCCACAACTTGACTGGTGGGCATGAGTCAGGCATTTGAGAGCATCAGAGTGCTTGCCACACCTAACTCCTGTTAGGATAAGCTGGTAATGGAAATGGGTTAGTTGACATTTGGTCATCCGCAGCTTCAAAAAAACATTCATGCAATGAAGAAACACTGTGAAAACATCAATGACTCAACCCTGTGGCATTTCCATTATAGGCTTTTATCTCAGCTGAGACTTAAGATTCAATACAAAAATGGGATCCTTAATTTATTTTTCATTTTTATAATTTTTTTTCTTTTAGAGATGAAAGTCTCACTATATTGCCAGGCTAGACTCAAAAGTCCTGAGCTCAAGAGCTCCTCTCAGGCCAGGTACAGTGGCTCACTCCTGTAATCCTAGCACCCTGGGAGGCCAAGGTAGGAGGACTGCTTGAGCTCAAGAGTTCTAGACCAACCTCAGCAAGAGTGAGACCCTATCTCTACTAAAAATAGAAAAAATTAGCCAGATGTGGTAGCACATGCCTATAGTCCCAGCTACTTGGGAGGCTGAGGCAGGAGGATCACTAGAGCCAGGAGTTTGAGTTTGCTGTGAGCTAGGCTGATGCCACAGCATTCTAGGCCCCCGCCCCTCTCAAAAAAGAGATCCTCTCACCTTAGGCTCCTGAGTAGCTGGGACTACAGGCACACATCCCATGGCCCAGCTTTCAGATTCTTACTTTTTAAAAAACTCGGTACTCTACCTTCTGGGTACACCTATCTTTTATATGTACAAGAATTAGTCCCTGGGTTCTGCAAATACTTACAAAAATGGCAAAATCTTACTACTGAAGATAGTTTAGAATTATACTGGCCATTATGTGGAACTTTCTAGACACTACACTTTAAGAAGTACATTTAAAACTGAAGGCTCCTGAATTAGGCCCTCCCACAGATGCCTATTGATATGCAGAAACTTCTAAAAAAATTCAAAGAAAATTTTATTGCTTCTTTTAAAACTCTTTATAAAAATGAAAAGCTTAATAATTGATAAGAAAATTGAAAAAAAAAAAAGACAAAAAAGAAAATTGAATCTACCAACCTTTAGGCTATGTTACTGTCTACTCCAAAAGTGCAAAGAAAGCAAGATAAAGTGTTTTTGGCCTTCAAGTCAGGCAGGTTTGCTTCTTTTTTAGAGCTATTCATGCTGAGTCTAGGCATACAAAATGCTTTCTTTGCCCTATTCATTAATGGGTTCCTTCCACAATTTAGTAATCTAGTTAAGAAACTATTTACTAAGTTTAAAAGACCACCTATCAAACTAACTTAGTCTTCAAGATACATCTCTCTGGCATTCACCTGGCTATTTTGAAACTCAGATTATCTAAACACCTTTGACCATACTGTCTTTTTTTTTTTTTTTTTTTTCTTTGAGACAGTTTCACTTTGTTGCCCAGGCTAGAGTAAGTGCTGTGGTGTCAGCCTGGCTCACAGCAACCTCAAACTCCTGGGCTCAAGCAATCCTTCTGCCTCAGCCTCCCGAGTAGCTGGGACTACAGGCATGCGCCACCATGCCCAGCTAATTTTTTTTTCTATATATATTTTTTAGTTGGCCAATTAATTTCTTTCTATTTATAGTAGAGACAGGATCTCACTCTTGCTCAGGCAGGTTTCAAACTCCTGACCTTGAGCAATCCGTCCACCTAGCCTCGGCCTCCCAGAGTGCTAGGATTACAGGCCTGAGCCACCATGCCCAGCCATGACCATATTGTCTTAACTGGGCTTCCTACCTAAACTTTTCTTTGTCTAGACAAATAATAGTATTTAGGCCTGAAACTGAAATTCTGTGTCTTTCAGACATAAATTTTCTACCTTGTTTGACCTTAGAGTCATCCCTTCAGAAATGCAAATTTAGGACAGAAAATATTTAGATGGTTATTAAAAATGGGATGAATAAAATGAACAGTATGGGGCTAAAACAAAGGTTAAAATCTACCAAAGGTTGGATGTACCCCCTGTTGGTTCCCCAACATTACAGGACCCCAAATCGGTCCTCTATTTACTCCAGTTTAAAGAAATTTTAAAAGTTAATGGCAGAGATTACAATGAGCAATGTAGAAAAGTATACTCCTATGAACAAAAATTAAAACATTTACTTTTTCTCCCTACCTGATCCCTCCAGAATTCATAAACTATTATATGTCTGAGTATTCTTATTTTTATGGCAACATAGTTATTTGAATAAATTCAATAAGAATATATTCTCTTTATAACAGGATACAATTGGAAGTAATTATATTACCTAGGCTTTGACTGGGTTGGCATATTTGGAAATGTACACTAAGTGAATCTGTAAGTACTGCAGGTGAAGCCTGGAGTCTGCCTTCGTCTGGCTTCCTAACCTCAAGAGGTTTTTAAAAGTCCAATCAGATTCCTTATCAAAAGTTTTAGTAAAGCACACTTTAAAAAAGCCTACAGAGTCAATCACTATTCTTGTTGCACTTATGTAAATAATCAGGTCAAGTTTGATGACATTAAACTTATTTTGCAAACAAATATGTTTTACTTTTTTATCTTTGGTAGGAATGGGCTGAGTATAGAGAGAAAAATTATTTTTTTGAAGAAAAATATCCGTATATCTGTTATTATATTGCAGCCCTGTTCATTGTTTTCAGGTTTTTATTATCACCCATAGACTGGACTGGATCCTGAATTATTCTAGTTTCCTCTGAAATCTGGGTACAATTCTCCAACTAAGAACAAGAACTGCTCTGTTCCTAAAGCTGAAGCTAGACAACTCGATGCAAATTTCAAAGGATAAGTATCACGCCTAATGCATGCATTACAGAGAGTTTACTACAACACCCAATGTCATAACCAGAAGCATTCAAACTGCAAACCAGGACAAGAAGCTGATGGCTTCATCCTGTGGAAAGCTTTCCCCAAAACACTGGAATGAGACTCCATATCATAATGAGACTCTTACCCCTTTTAGTATGTTCTTGCTCATGACTATCTTTTTTGCCTGGCAGGATAATGTTGTAGTTAGAATTTCATAATCAGTAGCTTTTGTCAGTAACTTTACAAAGTGTTGGGTTTGTCATGCCAAACACAGATCTCATGTAACCAAAGAGTAATACTAAAGTGGATCACTTTAGCAATACCCCTAGTGCAGCTGTTGTTTAAATTGTATTAGTAGTTCCTTTTACAGAATCAGACTTCTAAAACTACTTGTTCTCACCTCCTACTTGCCTATATGCCAAACACAGATCTCACATAACCAAAGAGTAATATTAAAGTGGATCACTTTAGCAATATCCCTAGTGCAGCTGTTGTTTAAATTGTATTAGAAGCCCCTTTTACAGAGTCAGACTTCTAAAACTACTTGTTCTCACCTCCTACTTTAATTTAACCCAGTCATGCAATACTAGATAATAGAATTGCTACCTACTAGCTGAACAGGGAAGAGTCTGTGCATTTGCCAACACTTCTTATTCACAAGGATAAATACATCTGAAATTGTAAAGACTTAGTTGCAAAGAATTAACGAATAGGCTATTTGGTTAAAAAGGGTAGATTTCTTGTCTGGCTCATTCTTTGATCTATTTGATTTTAGTTGGTTTGAGTCTTGAGGACCCCAGCTAAGGAGCATTCTCCAAACTCTTGGTATTATATTCCAGAGTCATAATAGTATCCCAGAGTTGTAATAGTAGTCTCTCTGATACACTCACTCACTGTATCCTCTCAAAAAGTCTTAAATGTCCACATGCAGCCATTTGCTGAACTCTAACAAGTCTCTACGTGGCAGGAATGATGAAAATTCCAAGAAACACACGATCATGAGTTTACTGTAACCTATGTTACATGAAAGTTCAGACCAAAAACCCAAAATGATGATGATTGAGAGTGGCCCTGATGTCCTAATTTTTGGTCACATTCACCTTGGTGGAAGCTTAACCCAAAGGGGGAACTATTAAATAAAATATATAGGAGGCCATTGGTTTGGAGTTAGTTCCTGCTCTAGGCTCAATAGACCAAACTGAAATGGAGTTGCTCATGTTAAAGTTCCATGCCACCAAGCCAAAACTAAGTAATCTGACTTAAAGAAAAATCAGGAGAGAGAGGTAATAGTCAAATCTCCAAACAATCCAGTTTTAGTGGGCATGCTTTAACCTTTAGAAGAAAAGTAATTTTGAAATGACCAATCTGCTTTGTGTTGTTTCAGCTTTCTTCAGCCTTTTCTGTCTAGAAAGCCAAACTCCTCTGCTGAAGTCATTGGAATAGTCATTTCATTTTATAGAATGAGGTATTGCTGGTTCTAGAATTGCAAGTCAAAGCCAATTAAGATCTTTAAACTAAATGTGTTGTAATTTTGTCTTTTGACCACCCAACTCTCCCACACTAGCTTGTAAACTCCTTGAGATAAAGGACTGTTTCTTACTCACATTGTTGGTGCTCAATTAGTATTGAATACATCTATGAAGCAAAACATTCAGATAAGAACAGGCAGTATTTCTTTAATACTATGATTCAGAAATTGTGTTAAACACTGTCCTTGCACTATCTCATTTAATCTTATAACAATCTTTAAAGGTGAGGAAACTGACCTAAGAGAGGTTATGATTGATTATCTGACAAGCTGAAGGGCTACCCACTTTCGGAGTTGGTTGCCATTCTCAGAAATAAGACAAGTCAGAGACAGGACTAAACCACTGAAGGAAGACACAGTGCTCTTTTCTTGAGGTCTGTGGTGATTACCAGCCAGACTGCCTAGGTTCAGAGGCCGGATCGACAGCGTGTTTTCTGCGTGACCTTGCTTAACCTTTCTTTATTACTACCAGTAGTAGTAGTGGTCCTTTCCCTCAACAGAGTCAACCATCCTGCACGCTGCTTCACAACTGAGTCAAGCACATATACTTCAAAACAGCATGTTATTATACGCGACGACTACATAGCTTTAGTTGTCAATTTAAAAATAAATTTCTAAAAAACGGAGTCACCTTCCTGTTCAGTTTCTTACGGTTTGAATGTCAGGACTGAAATATTCCTGAGCCCCTGTTTACCACTGGGGCCGTTGGGAGCTGGCGTTAGCTTTCATTCTGAGATGGGTTGGTTGACGTAATAGATAAACGACGAAGGGGACCCGTCCTCGCAGGCTGGTATCGGACTGTGAGTCCTGACCGGTCCCGCCCCTGCCCCCGGCCCGCGGTGTGCCCACTCACCAGTGCGGGTCGCGGCTCGCAGAGCGGCGGGCAGGCGCCTCCCCGCGGGCCGCGCAGGGCCCCCAGCGAGCGCAGAGGCGCGGCGCAGCTCCTCAGCATGGCTCCGGCGCGCAGGCCGCCGACCGCGCACTCTCAGGGTCTCCGCGCCGCTTCCCGCTGGTACCCCGGAGGTGGGCGGAGCGTGGAGCCTGGCGGAGGCCGCGCGCGCCCAATGGGGGCGAGCTGGGCGGGGCCTCGGGGAGGGCGGGCGCTGCTCTGAGACTAATTTGTGGCCTCAGCGTTTCCTCCCGGAGGCTCTCGGTGTCGCTGTGCGCCGGGTCCTCTTCTGGGCCACACAAAAGCCCGGGAAGGGCGGCTAGAGCGGCCCGGTTACGGCACTCGGCTCCTTGGCCCTTGAGCCCGCACGCTGAACCGGTCTATATGTAAATCACGTAGAGCCACAAGGCATACCCAGTAATCAAAGTCTGAGTTTTATAAAAAAGTATGGAGGTAGCCAGAAGGTAATCAGCCATCGTTCCCTAACTTCCTTGCAACGTTTACTGCTTAATGGCACTATTCTCCCCGACAGGCGGCGCAAGATTAGTGACTCCTCCCCACTACCTCAGATAGCAGTACCGCCACAAAGCCCAAGACTTGGATTCTAGAGATGACATTGCTGTCCTAAATCTCAAGGACTTGTGGTTACAGAGTTAACACTGCTGTTGTAAAACTGAACACCGGTCTTTAAGGTGTTTTTCAGACTCTGCATCCAGGAGACTTGAGGCCAGCCAGACCCTGGATAGGGCGTGGGAACGGATCCCACAGCCCTGAGACCCCTACTCAGGAAATCTCCCAACTGCGAAGATAATTTCTGCATCCCAGTCTGTGAGCTCATCCCCTGCCAATCAGCAGACCCAATTCCCTATCCCTTTTTGCCAGCCAAACTATCTTTAAAAAACCCTTTGTCTCAAATTTTCTGGCAGATGGATTTGAGAAATGACTTTCATCTCCTGCCTGGCGCCTTGAGAAATAAAAACTCTTTCTTCGCTACAACACCTGCTGTCTTAAGTATATTGGCCTTCACTGGGCGGTGGGCAAGGGACCCGGCTCGGCTGTAACAAGGCTGCTAGCGCAGTTTTTGGCCGTTCTTCCTTTCTGCGCAGGGAGAATGCAGGGCTCCGTGTCCACAAGTAGTTAATCCCTCCTGCAAAAGACTAAGTCCCACTTAGTCTTCTAAGACTAAGGTCCTGGGCAGGTAGGAGCACAGACAAGGAGTGGTATGACGCGTTTTCTTGTAGGCCATGGATAAGTCCCTGGGACCAAGCTGACAGTGTTGATTTATAGAGCGCCTCTGGGTGCAAAGGGCATTTATACAATTAAAATCTGCTACCCCTACCTACCCGCCATACTTACCCCTACCTACCCGCCATACTCCTCCCAAGAGCGAGCTTGAGCATTAGAGGACTCTTTAGTTTTGTAAACTTGCAATTAAATTATGTTAGAAACAAAGATAATCGATACTAAAAAGGCAACAGATACTGTAACTTCCTTATTATTTTACTACATTTGACTATTATCCGCACTCCTGAGGTTATTTATCTCCAGTTTAGTTGTATGATGGGATGTATTTAGGCGCATATCTTCTGAACTTCGAATTCATTAACATCACAGTGGTAGTGAAAGGACAGTGGGTCCTGTGAGCGAAATAACTCACTCTCTGCTCTTTCTCTGCTGTCTCTCTGCTCTCTCCCTCTCCACCTAGCTAACAGGTGCCCTGCAGAGCTCTGAACATCTCAAAGGAGCCCAACACACAAAAGGAAAATTTTAACAGTTACTAGACCTATTGACTAAAACTGCCATTTTAGTATCTGCTTCTACAGCCTGGAGTAGTTTCTGAGAAGTTCCTGGATGGCATGAGGCACAGCAAGGGGACAATCTCCAGACATCAAACCCAGCCCAAAATCATATCTTGAGGGCAAGGTCACTCCGCCTAAAGCAAAGGGAATGCATACGCAGTTTCACACAACAGATTCCATTATCTGCCTGCAGTTAAGAAGAAAAGGAGTAGATATGGCAATTAACTATTTTTCTCTTTGTCCCCATAAAGGCAGCAAGCCACTTGGCCTGGCTGCTGGCATCTCCCTTCTCTTTCTTTGGGATCCCATGCTGTCTCTCTGCTCTGCCCCCTTCTCTCTGTTTCTCATTTTCTCTGTCCTTCTAAAGGATAAAATACATTTTACTTTTATTAGCACTCTGGAAGGCCTAGGTGGGTTGATCACTCAAAGTTAGGAGTTCAAAACCAGCCTGAGCAAGAGTGAGACCCCGTCTCTACTAAAAATAGAAAACATTAATTGGCCAACTAAAAATATATTGAAAAAATTAGCCAGGCATGGTGGCGCATCTCTGTAGTCCCAGGTCCTCGGGAGGCTGAGGCAGGAGAATCACCTGAGCCCAGGAGTTTGAGGTTGCTGTGAGCTAGGCTGACACCACAGCACTCTAGCCCAGGTAAGAGAGTGAGACTGTCTCAAGAAAAAAAAATTTTTTTTTTTTACTTTTATATATCTTAATCTCTGTGTGAGAAATCTTTCTCCACCTGCACCATGAGCATCTACCAGGTTTTCCACCCTAACAGTAGCTTGAAATCAGACTGCATGGGAGTATTCACTTCTTTGATACAGCAACTTAGGCCATCTTCTCCCCCCTGTTTATTTTTAAACATTTACCAGTATGCCACAGCACTAGTCCATCCTGTGGTGAAGACTTGTTCTAATAGTGTTACTAGAATCACTTAGCACATTATTACACAATATTTTTCTACCAACACAGCTCGGTAACCATTCACATAGTAAAGGTGGGACTGGAGGAACCATAACCAGCAGAAATTTATTGGAGATAAATGAACTTGGCTTTGTGGCTTGGCTCTAAGTCATGAGAGCCCTCTTCAACTTTTTGGGATGTGTATGTAATTAGTATCTATCAAACTCTTAAGGACCTAGATGTATGAGATATTTTGCTTTGATTCTTTTCCCATGAAATTCTCCATCAGTTTGTTGGTAGGTAAAAACACTCAAATATAAATATATTTTAAGGCTACACTATTAACTGGGAGAAGGTGTAAGGTTCTGAGACAAAAGGTAGGAGGGGCCCTTGGAATCCTAGAGCAACTGAACTGAAGATCAGGCATAAAGGAAGGGTGGCTGTTGAGATTCTGTCATTTCAAAAGGCTGTGTCTCTCCCCTTCCCTGCAACACATATACCCTTTATCTCACTTGTCTTCTTGGAATACAATACAGTATTCCAGTTTCCTGGTGGCAGAAATGATGTCATATTGTCTTCGTCATTGTATTTTTTTGGTCATAACTCATACACAGTGCTTAAATACTTGTTTAGTAGCAAGAGCCCAAAGTATCTTTGATGTCTGTTGCCTTTCCATGTTGTGCATGGAGACAGAGGCACAAGCATAAAATAAACCCATAAAATCGAGATGACTTCTGTTAATGAATAAAAAATAGTTTATATAGATTACTTAAAATTGCATATATTTACAATTTACAATGTAGTCAGAGTTGATCAAAATCTATAAATAGACTTCAGCCCTGCTAAGATTGTCTGACAATTAATGTGCCAACAGATCACCTATCTGTGTCTCAAAAAACCTTATACTTAGAACAATTGCAGGTCAATTACACTCAGTTTAACCTGCAAATTTTTCAAGTAGTGGCAGTGCATTTAGCTACGTCACCCACACTCTCACTTGGCTTACTCTAGGGTAATTGTGTTGACAGCACATGTGAAATGTCTGGTCAAATTTGGAGGGGAAGAATGGGTTACAGTCTAGAAATAGGACTGAAAGTCTATGGAAGTGGAAGAGTTTTTCTTTGAAGCTTGTGTGGGTTAGGCAAAGAATAAATTTTCAACCTTGCTTTTGATAGAATTATGCTTTCAATAAGCCAATGGTATGAAACTTAACAGTGTTCTCCCTATAATCCTTTAATTTTGTAGACAGCTTTATGAGATGTAATTGACATAAACTGTGCATATTAAAGCATATAATTTGCTAAGTTTTGATACATTTGTATACCCAAGCAACCATCACCACAATCAAAATAATAAGCATATATGTTAATCACAGTTTGCTTATTATGCTCTTTTGTAAATTCTTCTTTCTATCCTTCAGGCAATGACTGATTTTCTTTCTTTTTTTTTTTTTTTTTGAGACAGAGTCTCACTTTGTTGCCCAGGCTAGAGTGAGTGCCATGGCGTCAGCCTAGCTCACAGCAACCTCAAACTCCTGGGCTCAGGCAATCCTCCTGCCTCAGCCTCCCAAGTAGCTGGGACTACAGGCATGAGCCACCATGCCCGGCTAATTTTTTGTATATATATTTTTAGTTGTCCAATTAATTTCTTTCTATTTTTAGTAGAGACTGGGTCTTGCTCAGGCTGGTTTTGAACTCCTGACCTCGAGCAATCCGCCCGCCTCGGCCTCCTAGAGTGCTAGGATTACAGGCGTGAGCCACCTCGCCCAGCCTACTTTCTATCACTATAGATTAATTTGCATTTTCTGGAGTTTTATAGAAATGGAGTCATATAGTATGTACTTTTTTTGTTGTCGTTGAGACAGAGTCTTGCTTTGTTGCCCAGGCTAGAGTGAGTGCTGTGGTGTCAGCCTAGCTCACAGCAACCTCAAACTCCTGGGCTCAAGCAATCCTCCTGCCTCAGCCTCCCAAGTAGCTGGGACTACAGGCATGTGCCACCATGCCCGGCTAATTTTTTCTATATATATTAGTTGGCCAATTAATTTCTTTTTATTTATAGTAGAGACGGGGTCTCGCTCTTGCTCAGGCTGGTTTCGAACTCCTGACCTCGAGCAATCCACCTGCCTCGGCCTCCCAGAGTGCTAGGATTACAGGCATGAGCCACCGCGCCGGGCCTGTATGTACTTTTTTGTGGTCTATATTTCTTTTATTCAGTACAATAATTTTGAGATTCATCCATG